AAGAGGGGAAGGGACGGGTGAACCCTTCTCGTAATGAAAACTACTGCTGCAGCTTTGGGCAAGCACCAGCAGGAGGGTAGGTGGGAGATTGAAATACAACCAGGCGTCCCGTGTGACCTTCCACGTGTGCGACCCCCGGCTGATACATCAAGCCGATCAGTGTACCATAGATTCTGGTGCCAGATTGTGTGGGAGGGGTCATACACACACGTAGTCTACATGATTCTCGAACCTAAAACCTGAATGTACTGCGTGTGTCGAAGCGGCGATGGCAAACTGTGAACTTCTCGACGAGTTTTTTATCCGAAAGTTTATGTGGTAGGTATACATGCACAGTCGATATTGAAACTTGAGTGCTTTCTTTACAATTGTCGTGCTGCGGTACGAATGTAAGTGCCATCAGCATATCTAGATGTAGGCTACAGCAGTACTAGCAAGAAAAGTGGTTCGCCGAACCTGTACCGTGGTTACTCTTCAAAGCTATCATGCATACCCCAATTCTCCACAGCCCGCAACTCTTCCGCACGAAACAAGGTGCCCGAAATGGTGGCGTTGACCGTCTCGTCGACGGATTTACGAAAACGCATCAATTTGCTTTGGCATCCTCGTCGTGGTGGAGGAATCCAGCTGTGAACATAGGTGCGCGTGGCAACTTGTGCAACTTACTTGTGCGGCTGTAATTTGTTGTGCAAATGGCCGAGGCTGTACACTGCTGTCGGTCGGATTCTCCCCGTCCGTGAAAAGGCCCCATGCTTTTGTTGTTGCAGACTGCACGTTCTGGTCTACCCCCCAACTCCTGGGTTGCAACTCCTGCTCGCAGGGTATGATGCACCCACCTTACTCTCGAACCGCCCACGCCAGTGGGTGCTGGTTGCTGTCGTGGTGAGGTTACTGACAAGGCCTGCGATGGCGACTGGGCTCCTCGTCCTGCGATCGCCTGGGAAGCTCGAGCCAGTCGCGAAGAAGTCGACACCGCGTCGGCCACCAAAGCAGCACGTGCAGTGGTGAGGGCCAACCCCAGCACAAAAACTATACCCGCCATCACCAACGTTCCTTTCCACCATCGGCCACTATATGAAAGCCGGATTCCACCTACCGCAGGGTGCAACTTTCGTCGCCCGGGTGGATAATATGAAAATATTTGCATTGATACAAAAATGTATACAGCAGCTGCTGTAACCGTCACCTTCGGCAACGAAATTCGCGCCGCATTTTGTACTGTACCCCCGGAACGATTTTCAAAGCGCCAAGACGAAGTAAACGCCAAAGTCATGCGACCTGTTTTCGGAAAGATATTGGAGAGGCGGTTGGAACGTCGCCTGTTTCATCACCTCTTCTGTCTCTGCTTTGTAGAGTGTTGTAGTCGATCTTTGGAAATCGGCGGGGAGGTGGTATCTGGTGTCAACTTCGATACTAGTCTCTAGTCTCCCCTTTTTTGGTTCTTCTCCTCAATCCCTCGATTCAACGCGTGACTGTTGTCTGCTGCTGGAGTCTTGCATCTCAAACGTTGTTATTTCATGGTTTGGTCAGAGAGAGCGTATTTCCACGTCGGTGCTGCCGCGCTGGAAGGTGTGTGCTTGTGTTACCATGACCGCGGGGTCTTATTTCAGCGTTGCCAACAAATAAATGTGTGGCCTGCCCTCGCTGAGGCGGGCCGGGCTAAGACCACGCAAAGAACACCACGGAGATACGACGAGCTCATGCCTCGTAGGGAAGGTATGAAGGTAGTCCTGAACTGGATTATAGGAGAGTTACGCGGTCGCGAGAGCGGAATAACTCTCGTCGGACCGACCTGGTTGGGCAGCATGGACTATTACAAGTTCACCTGAGTTTCAGCGTTTGCAACCTACATAAATTAGTGCCCGGTGTACACGACATCCCACCTCAAAACACAACAAAAACATCGTAGAGGACCAGCACGGTTGCCCGGGGCAAGCTGCGATACCAATGAAGAAACTCGCGGACGCCAGTTCCGCTGGTTTGGGATTTTGACTGTAATTCATCATGTGCAGCACAGGGCACTCGGGTACTAATGTTTCCATTGCCAACGCGATGTTTCGCGGTTCCCAGGCGCCCAAATAAATATTGTATGCGGTTGTTATACGCTAAATGAAATGAACGAGCGCTCCCGCTGCCAACTCTGGGGTGAGGTTCCTTAATAATGCTGTTGTATACGAAATCGTATCCATCCCCATTTGGGTGGGGTTCCCTGCCAATTTTAGGTTCCCTACAATAATGCAGAGGCTCCCTAATAATGCAGCGAGTGGCTGTTGAATGCGAAAAAATCGTATCCCTATCCCCTGCCAATTTCAGGTTAAGGTTCCCTAGTGCAGTGTTCCCCCAACGTTGGTGGGGGTCAGGTTGCGTGATGCAGAGGTTCCCCTTGCATTATTGTTCTGGGAAATTTGGTCCTCCCGTTCCGTGTGCACAACCCACCATCCGACATACTTTTTTGTCTGCTGTTGCTGTGCTACATACGTGTACATGGAGACGAACAAACTTAATCAAATAAATCGATGCGACAGGGTAAATAAACAATACCACGGTGTGTTCTCACGCCGACGCTATAGATTACCCACTCAACACACGAAGAGAACCTCTTGTATCATTTTGTATCTGGATGACTTCCGGAGCAATGGCGGTATTTTTCGGGGCCCCGGATCGTCGTTCATAGTAGTGGTGGTGTCGTCCCGCCGTCCGAGGTTGTCTTCGCTTGCCACGAGAGTTTTTTTCCCGAAACCGAGTTTCCCTTCCACTTACAGTACTAAATGCAGCTTGCCATTCCACGCACAACATGTACATGTGTCTATGACATCATTTTTTGGTTACCTTACCCCCATCGCCAACTGGGATTATCGATTAATTCTCAGGGGCACGTGTTCTAGGAGTCCCGCTCGTACCTTACCACCCACGCCCGAAGACCGCCAAGTCCTTGTGGCGCGTGTCCGGCCTCTTACGTCGCGCCCGAGAGGAGGCAACCCACCTAGCTCCCAAACGGGAGCCTTCCAATATTTTTCAATCCCTTCCGATCACCCCTCACTTTCTGGATGCTTTATTCCCGTTCTACTTCACCTCTATCACCTTACGCCCCCCCGCCCACTGGGGGCGGGGGGGCTGATGCTTCACCCTAGTATATATATATGATGCACACAATAATGTATACATACGGGGTTGTAGAAAATAATGCAGCACAGCAAAGCACAGTGAGAAACTGCCCGTTCCAGACATATACTTCAGTAAGTACATTTTAGCCAACCCCATACGAAGGGGTGCGTTGAAGTCTGTACTACCATCGTATACAGCGGTGAGTGGGATAAAACAGGCTGGATACTCCATTGGTCGTGACCCTCCGGAAACTTGACACCCACGACCCGAAGGGAGACTGTTTGTGGTACATACTTGGATATGAGTCCGAACCGTGCATCCTCTGTAGGGGATACGCATATGGGAAGCATGGGTGTGATGGATATGTATGCGGTTGATGTCCATGTGCGGAGCCTCCGGGTGAGCACACGGCGGTGTGCTCCCGGCACTTACCTGGGGCTTGCGCGTTGGATACCAGCTTGCCTGAGGGGCTCGCGTGTAGGATACCACTCACCTGACGGGCGAGCACTCCATGTCGTAGGTAGTGTGACCAGCTTGCCTGAGGGCTCGCGTGTCGGATAGATAATACATGGTCATTTTCTTCATCTCCTGTTGCTGGGATAACATAGTACCCAGTCTCAACACCACAGACCGCTGAGGGCGGCAGTGCCACAAACAGAGACCTTGCAAAAAAAGTCTGGTCCTCATCATTGTTATTGTGGTCGTCGTGGAACGCGTCCCCGCGAAATGGAGCCATTCTCCCCGACTTTGCGCGTCGAACACACGCGCCATGGGCGCTGTCGAGCTCTGGGCATGCTCGGTAGTGTACGGACGAGCCTCCTGCGCGCCCTGAGAAGCAAGCTCGAGAAAAAGATTCACTGCCGCTAGAGAAAGAAATGCCCAAGCACAGAAACATACTAAGGGTTTACTCGGCAAATTTACCGCCCTGAAAATACCACCATGCATGGTGGGCGGTACTGGATAGTCTACCGCTGTTTTTGCCTTTTCTTGTTATACCGCCTCCGTCAAAGCCGCTACCGCAAAAAATGCAATACCGCTTATTGCCGAAAATGTGTCAGCCTTAAGAAAACCGTTTCAGAGTAAATCCATGCTTGAAAATAACAAAATCTGATACACGGAATAATATGTGCAGGCAAGATTCCCCTCCGGGACGCGGTCTCCTGGGAATAAGTCCCGGGGGGGGGGATCACACTACTTCATTTCCTTAATGTGTCCCAAGTCATTTGCCCCTTTTCGAAATAGTCTTGGCGTACACGACATTATAACTAGACACGTTGCCAAAGAGGTTTCAACCGAGGAATACCAAATTGCCACTCTTCTGCCGCCATAATAGATGTTCCCCTTCCTTCCAAAAACGAGCTCCCCAATTCCAAAAACATTCACCTACATAGCCCGGGGTAGGACGTTCTCTACCACTACATAATCAAATATAGAATAGAATGCTGATGATAATAATACCCAACGTCGAGAACCACGCACCCAACAACCCTCAAACCTCACGGGTTTAAGTCCAACATGAAAGCCAAGCATCAAAGTACGCGAGAGGGGATCGCCCAGGGAACCTCCCCTCTGCGTTTACCACCGCTACATATTCTAGCATACCCGGTACATGTTTATAAAAATATTACCTAAGGTCCAGAAGCACGAACACAACAATCCTCACGGGTTTAAGTCCAAGTTCAAAGCCAAGCATCGATGTACGCGAGAGGGCATCGCCAAGGGAGCCTTCCCTCTGCGTTCACCACCGCGACATATACCAAGACTCAAAACTATTTATTGTACTACTCAACATCAAGACATATACCAAGACTCAAAACTATTTATTGTACTACTCAACATCCAAAATCACACGCATGCATAGCAACCTTAAAGGGATTAAGCCCAACATCAAAACCAAGGATAAAGTACGAGAGAAGGGATCGCCCAGGGAAACCCCCCCTGCTCCCACTATATACAAGCACCAGCAGATATTTACTACAAATTATATTACCCAACGTCCAGAATCACACGCATAACACCCTTTATCGGTTTAAACCCAACATCAAAGTACGCGAGAGGGAATAGCCCAGGGAACCCCACCACATATAGTCCACAAGTACCAGCAGATACTACAAATTTATTACCAATATTTTCGAACCACGCGGACAACAACCCTCACGGGCAAAGTCCACGTTCAAAGCCAAGCATCAAAGTACGCGAGAGGGGATCGTCTAGGAAACCTCCCCTCTGCGCGCAGGAGGCAATCGTCGAGCTTCTTATATTGCGCTCCAAAATATCCATGGTCTAGGAAGCGGACATGTGCTCACCGTCCCAGGTGCCAGCACCGGCGGCTCGCTGCAGCGCTTATTTCGGAAAGCCGTCACAAACAACCTCTGTACTCCAACCTGCACACCCGATGGTCCCTAGAAGCATCGGCACAATCTCCGGCGCGCGTTGGGGTCCTCGCTCCTCCCTCCGGTTTGAGCCACTATGTCCCTCTCCAGTAACTGGGCCGTTGCGCTATATCTTCAGTTACGGTCGGGCTTTCCCATCACGTTATCTCGATGGGAAAACCAGCAGACTCGCCTGCTTCCTGTGACTCGCCGCTGCCAAGCCCCGTACCATTGTCCCCTGACTGGGCCATCGGCATGGGTTGATCTCCCTTCACACCGTCGGGTGTCTCTCACTGTCCACCACCGAGCTTGTCTCGGCCTTGATGGACTTCACGCAGCTGGAGAATCCAAGAGGCAAGGACATCTGTTGGGGAGGAAACAAGAAAAGGGGAGGAGACACGCACGCACGACAGATTTGCCATCGCACGTTGGACACCCTGCGGGCGGGCTGGTGGGTGGTTCTTTAGCTTGCCCGCTGAAGACGACACATGGGAAGTCTAGGGCGCGCAAGGTTTTCGGGCGGACGTATTTCCGACTTCAACCACGGGCAATCACTTTCACTCCACCGACTTCGACTAGGTGGGGTTGCACCTACATGTGGCGATGTGCTCAAGAAGCTTTCATGTCATCCGACGTGAACGATAACGCATGCAATGAAAAACCGAAATCACGAGTCCAGAAACGAACCCATCTTCTGCGTTTCCTAACGCACCTCAGTCACGCAGAGGGTCACGAAAATATTTGCCGTTGGCAGGAGGTCGGCGAGTTGAGCCGCCTGCCGTAGGGTTGATGTCGACGGAACCACAAAATAGAAAACGTATGTCAGATCCATGTTGGTTATCACACGCACAACCGAGAACAACCCGCTGGTATGCACCATCACTGCCTTGGACCGCCTCCACAGACAAGAGCTGTAACAAACCCTGGGTGTTGGGGCTCTGGGAGATATAATAAGCGTTGGGCAGGGCTCCGGGTACACCCAGAGGCAAGCCGATGACCATCCATGCCGGCAATGGACCTTCTGTAGGGATTGGTTCGACGCACCACTAATTCGTGAAAGTCAACTTGTCTAACAGACAATGCGTGCTTCTTTCTGCTTGTCCAATCAACAGCTGACCAACCTACGACGTACGAAACACCGGTTCTTACTCTCAAATCCCAGCTAGAGAGCCCACGCTTCATATTCGCGCCGACTCGGCATTTGTGCTATAGCTATGTTCCCGAGTGCTAACCGGATGTCGAGCTGAGGGTGCGTTCAAACATCCCGTGCTAACGAACCTCCACAGAGCCACATTGCTGGACAACAAATGGCCTCAATGTCCGTGAGTAACAATTGCCACGAGCGACCGGGTCTTCACATCAAGAACCCACGGTACTGTATGTGTTGCAGCGCTCTGCTCACCCATATGTAGCAAGAGGGCAGCATGATTTCCGACGTGTACTTCACATGACTTCGAAGCAATCTAAACATACGTTCCCGACGTTGTTTCTTGTCCCAGGGTTGTATGTCCGGTATGGTTAGGTCTCGTACTACGACGCGGTTTGCTCTACGCGGGGTGATGGGGGCGCAACGTCACAACAGTGCTAATAGCAAAGGCGGGCCTGTGTATTCGCGATATCACGCGCTGTACGTAGCTTGGCCCGCACATGGTACTGTACGACACCCGCCCCGCTCTTCCACACCTTGATGCTCCCGGGAGCAGTGGTGAGAAAGCCCAATACCACAATTACGGTTGTGACGGCGTAGGTGAAGGTGATGCCGATCGTACATGCAACGTTTCGCATCACCAGCCGACGGTACACCGCCCCGCCTGACTGTATATGGCCTTGGGGGATCATCAGCGGCTTCACGAACATCGCCAGCAGTAGCACGAACTAACGCGACGAACGTGCGGCGGAACGAGGCAATACCAATCGAAACGATTTGGTGCGGTCAGTCATCGACAGGCCAGTAGGAGCCTGTGCCCCACTATAACGCCGGAATCCATCAAAGCACGTGGGCCTACGGCAGAGATGAAGCAATGCAGCTCTGTGAATACCCATTCCTGGGCCCGACCCCCCTGCCCCGTTTCGTCATCCCCAGTGAAATGCAGTCGTTCTTGGCGGTCGCGCCAGCCTTTCCCCGACAACAATCCGTTCAAGACCTACCATGTAAGCAGGTCTTGTTCCACCCAAGGCGACTACGTCGTCGACCTGTCAGTTCTCACCTGGATGACTAGTATCCCGTTGTTAAACACGAATCCGAGCGTGTCCGAAAACGTCACGTCCTCGTTCTCTTGTAGATCTAGAGCCAAGCAGAAATTCCCCTGGAAAAGAACGTGGGAGCATTATTCAAGCCGTAATACCGCTTTCTTGTGGGAGCATAAAGTTGCGAGAAAATATCAACCTTTATGGTCAGCAACTTTTGCAAAAAACATTTATATTACACGCTGATAGGGGCGAATGGAGTTTTCCTCAAGGGACTGGTGGAATGCGGAAGCGTGGTCCCTTTTTGTTTATATAGCAACGGCGAGACGCAGGTACGCCGCTTCAGACCACACCGCAAAACCGGCCAGAGCGTGCAACAAAAGCTTGGAAAATGATTTGGCAGCACAAAACCGGGTTTTGCGCCTTCCAATCAAAGCCAGGAAGATCTCAAGCATGCTCACATCCAATACAAATTGTTGACGCAGAACGTATTCTACACAGCTGCGGCCATCGCCGGCAATCTCAACTCGTCGTTCAAGGATTGTGGCTTGGCCGTTCATCTATCGCGTGGATCGTGCGCGCGTGTGTGGCGGGAGAGGGTCTGCGTGTGTGGGATGGGGCAGGCGCTTGACGCGGATTGATGGAAGTCTCGCCGCAAAAACGTTTGCTCGACACGTTTGTGGCGAGAAAAGTTTGAATACTCTTACTCCAGATCGCGCGATCTTTTTCGAACGCAAAAATTTCCAGGTTAAACTTTTTGCGCCAATAAAGAGCGTACATGAGATAAACTTTTCTCGCTACTCTATGCTCCCAAAAAAAGAGGTGTAAGAAGGACAAAGAGTTTTGAGTCGGCCCGAAGCGGGATTGCGAGGTGTGTACTGCGGCAATCGACGACTTGACGCGTGCTTACCTCTGGGCTCGGCACGCTAGAAACTTGGGATGCCAAAATGAATGCACCCGTAGTCCTGCACAAAGCAAGAGCATAGGGGGAGTCGGTTCCGTTGCGACGTGAGCCGCAGGCCTTCATCCGTATTAATATTTTACTGCCAACCTGCTAGAAGGTACGCCGGGCACGCACTCTTTCGAGAAGGCCACAGTATCAGCACGTCCAATCCATTGATGGACACTAGTCCGATATTGTGTCCCGACTAGTCTCGAAAAATGTCAGGTCAAGGCAGCTTGAAACACGTACGCGATTAATCCGTTGTCATCAACGTACTCCGTTGGTCGTCAACCTGCTACGTTTTCGTCAACGTCAAAAACTGTTCAAATATCCGTACGTCAAATGAGAATACTCACAGTACTACCCATCCGTAGAAGCGCGACAACCATGTGATGCATGCTTCCCATTTGGCGAGGACTCGGTTGCCATTTGTGACCCTTGTCTTCCCAAGGAGAAACAGCACCAGGCTTGCCTGTTGTCGAACGAAAAACAATACCGAACAAGACCATACTCAGTTGCAGTCGCAGACGTCAACCTCTGATGCAACGTATCGCGCAGCAACACGTTCTTCCTTTATCTGGAATCGACGAGCAGCTAGCCCCACCACCGACCCACCGCAGTACGGAGAGCAACCAGCCGTTGAAAGTGATGGCAACTCCAAGCTTTTCGCCGTCAGACGGTCACAAAAGCGTTGATATTGATAGAAACCCTACACAGTAGTTTATGTTCACAAAAAGACTACCCGTTCGAGATGTCACCACCGTCTCCGGCCCATGATAGTGACGCCTGGTCTCAGTTGATACCTCGCATAGCGCGCAGAGGGAATGGAGGATTCCAGAATATCTGTCGTTGATTTTTATTGACTTGCGGACCCCTCGGGGCCAGTTTATTTGAGTGTACCTTTTTAGAGTAAGTTAACCTGTGACCACGGGAATCGACCGCGTCGAGTGTTGGATCAGTACGGACATACGAAGGTAGGCACGAGAGCCCCAGCCTTGTCCAACACTAGAGGTTGTTAAGTGCGGGCGCTATCTGCAATATTCTGTGTTACAAAAAAGTCGGCCTTCACAGGAACACGTCGCAGTCTCTATTTTGAGGCGTGCTGGATAAATATTCTGCTATTGTTGATCCACCAGAATTTCGGATCTTGAATGTGTTTCTAAAAACACAGAAAGCTCTGCTGCAAGCAGCTGCTCTTGCTGATCTCTACAGCAGCTACAGTAGTAGTAGTATTGGATATCGACTCAATGGTCTCGATATGATAACGACCGAGAGGCGTCAGGGGCGAGCTTACACGCGAAGGCGCAGAAGCTCGCTGTGCGAGTCAAGCGCTCCCCTCGAGCTGGCGAGGGGGCCCCGCTGGAGGTGCGGTCGGACGCCAAAATTTCTTTAAAAAAAGTGGGACAATTTCCCTTCATGTCCCGTCATAATTAAGGAATAATATAAACACACACAGAAAGACTCATAATTACCGCAAAACAGATCTCTGAACCCGGCTTCGTACAACCAACTGTTCGAGCAAAAACATGTATGTGGAAAATATGATTTCGAAAAAGCAAATAGAGCAAGTGTTGCATCATCTCTACCTCGTCTAGCGCTTCAAAGCTCACACAGCGGTATCGTACACAAACACAAAAAAAGAACAGTTGTCGTATTCTACAGAGCCAAGCTCCGTTCGGGGGTTGTTCTGTGGAGTTTGATCGATTTATCGTAGCGGAAATATCGATACACACAACCAGAATATCGCCATTCGCAAGTGACAGACAGTTCGGCTTTGTTAACGGTTCTACACGTAGATTATTAACCCTTTGTCCCCAATATTGGGAGCAAATAGAAAGATCCACGAAAGGGGACAAGAAAAAAATCCCCGAATCGGTAAGTCAACGAAAAAAACCTGAATCGGTAAGTCAACGAAAAAAAACATACGCATGCATCCGGACAAAACTCTCGTTCGACCGCGATGTTAAATTTCTTCCCCTCCCGCGGACCATTCGGGTTCACAATCTTCAATTTTCAAGTTCCGACCGAAGATAGTTCTTACTTCACTTCAATTAAATCGTTCCAGGCGAGCGCCGTCTGTGGTTGCTGCCCCGGGGTACATCGTGCCCTATTGTAATGATGACTAGCTTCGCAATTCCGAGCCTCGACACAATCAGGAAAAGAAACAAAGAATTCGTTCCTGCTGGATGGGTTTCGGCACCCGCGAGGCGTTGCGATCGTCAGCAAACTTGTCAAGCGTTACATGTTCCGCCTCTTGATGTTTGTGACTCACAACCACCCTACAAATTAGATTACAGGGCTTGAGAAGATGAAATTATTGTTCGGTGTCGGCCTTCCTGATCACCCCGAGGACCGAAGTCCAATGGATGTAGTAATAAATACACAATCAAATGCTTCTAAATAAACACCCGATCGAGATCATACGACAGCAGCAGTCGAAGGGTGTGTGTTGAAGTCTCTTCGGTAAGTGGCAAGAAAACCGGCTGGTCACCGACACCGAGTGCCCCGAGTGGTTCCGAGGCACTCACGGCGCCGGAGGTGCCTCGCGGTTTCATCGTGAAGGGTGTTGCGATACGTATGCGTACGATGCGTAGGTGGTCTGCGTGTGAATGCGTTCTGCAGCGGCGATGTTACGTTGCGTATAACACAATGTATCGGAGTTTTCACACGGGGTATGCGTCGATTGCACTCATGGTGTGCGGCAGGTCGAGGCAGACCGTTCGTGTTGTGCAATACAACTGTGACATGGAATTTCTGGTCAAAGAGAGAGAGTGAGGTGACCGAGTCGTTACATGTTGGTCTGTATACGTTTGAAATGCATGAAGATGTACTTTGCCTCCTACAGCTTCAATCCCCTATTGCGAGTTTGCATTGTCGAGTAGACTACAGCAGAGTGTTAAGGAGTGTGGCTGCTAGCTTAAATAGGGTACATCTTATTGTTGATAGGATGTGGGTCGGTCTCAGGAGGTATACCCTTCAGACACCTACTCTCTTAGGATTTTGTCTAGTCTGCGTACCCCCCTGAGGTGAAGTTGGATCCCCACTTCACCTCAGACCCTTGCTGATCGTCTCTCAGCAATAACAAGCAACTTTCTCATCTCTACGTGATCGTGGACAAGCGTGTCAACGACAGAACCTACCTTCATCTATCTCTAGGAGCAAGCTACCACCCACGGCTTCCCCTCCTTTAAACTTGGCGTCAGCTGGCATTACACGGTAAGCGGGTGCTGGACGCGGCCTCCACACTGCTGTGTGTTGTTGTCACGCTTTCTTCACAATCACGGGGTTGTTTGTTATTTGGTCTCACCACCCACGAGATTCTAGACTTAGCCTTCTCTGCTTCTTCTCTTGTCGAGGATGCTGGCTTGCGATGCTTTCGCTAAGCGCCCGCGGGACTGGGACCTTGCGAAGGATACGCGTCTCGGCGGTCATCGCGATGTTGTAGGTGATTTTTCCTACGCTCGCCGCCCCTCCCAAGCTATTTTGTCTGCATCGGCGGTCCATGAAGTTATTTCGGTGGCGGACACGCTTTGCATGAAGCAACCGGAGTTGCTGTCTTTGTGTAGCGGGACTCGAGATGATAGCATGCTTCCCGCGTCCGCTACCACTTCTACTGCATTCATGCCGGCGTACCGGCCGATGTCCGCGGATTTCCCTGTGGTGCTCTCCGATTTGACTCCGCTTGTTTCGACGTGGAGAGCATTGTGTGCACACAAATTGGGTGTCAGCCGCCCCACCAGCCTTCCCTCCATTTTTCGCAATCACATGGAATTTTTTTTTGGAGCATCATTCACCCTCAAGGCATTCGAATTGGAAACCTTTCAACAGCGCAAACCCACAGCGGTCTTTGCTCGCACTTCGGCACCCGTTGCGGAGGAACGCCGTGCTGCTCTGCGTGTGTTTTGGTCGGACAATCTCGTGTCCCCATTTAATACCGGTCCTTTTGTGCTAGCTTCCACTGCTGTGTATGCGTGGCATGGTGTGCTTTTGGACGCCTTTTCTGCTTGGTTGGATCCGCTTCAACCTCGTGTGCATCAAGCTTTTATCGCCGGGCGTTGCTGTCCTGTGGGTATCTCCGTTTTTCGCATGGACCTCGGTTTGCTTCTACCGCGATTACGCCCCGCTTTACTGTTTCCGCTGCAATCGGTTCTGCTGTCGCAACAGCGGTTGGGGGTGACACATCTACTGTTGCTGGCCGTTCTGCACTTGTAAAAATCGATAGTAGCTGCCCTTCCTCTGGCCCTGTCTTTTTGAAAAAAGAGAACACCATGTCCAGCGGATATGTGGAACTGATGGACGGCAATGAGGAAATCCTCGATTACGAGGCCGAGGGCGAGCCGTCCACCGCGGAGCTGCTTGCAGGGGCCGGGACGGGCGACGAGAGCGAGTCCACTCCAGGCGCGTCCGCAGCTGATGACCTGAGGTACAACATCGCCACGGCGGATCCGGCGGACCTGGAACAAGCGTACACCGCTGGACGGATCTCCCTGCGCGACGTGGTCAGGGCAGCTCGTTCGTCTCCTGGTTCCCCCATTTGCGCTCGCCCTTTCTCGCTCCCGCAGGAAGACATGGTGATGCACTTGTCGCAAGATGAGTTCGCCGCCTTTCAAGAATTGACCGAGATGTGGCACCGCGGTCTGGCTAGCGAGGTAGCGGCGGCGGAAGAGCGGAAGCTGCTGGAGGAGCGTGAGGCTGCTCTGGCGGATGATGCGAGGAAGCAGGAGGAGGAGCGTCAGGCTGCTCTGGCGGAGGCTGCGAGGAAGCAGGCGAAGGAGCGTGAGGCTGCTCTGGCGGAAGCTGCGAGGAGGCAGGAGGAGGAGCGTGAGGCTGCTCTGGCGGAGGCTGCGAGGAAGCAGGAGGAGGAGCGCGAGGCTGCTCGGGCTGCTGCACAGAAGAAAGCGGAACTAGCGGCGCGCGAGGAGTATGTCCGGGCTGCTAGGGCGAAGCAAGGGGCGCTCCGATCACGGCTGGAGGACCTCGGGCACCGGCCGCAAGCTTCAACTTTGCTTTCGCGACCCGCCCGTCGTCGTGTCGTGCCCCCTCCCACGCCCCAGGCGGCACCGGAAGTGGCTGCTGCTCCCCAG